TTTATTACCATATACTCTCTTGACATCTTTGTCTGTGTCTTCTTGTTAGAAGTGTCATCAACTCCTCACTTGCTCATGTTGAATCCAGCAGGGATCCCATGCTGTGTCCTCATATTGGATTCTGCTGACTTCATACTAGGGGGCAGGCTGAGAAGGTCAGCAGAAAGTCACTTAGATATTTGCATTAGCACATACACCCCCTACGGAGAAAATGTTGAGGATCTCCAGCATTCAGTGCATGTCTGAAAGCAGTGACATCCCCTTTAAACCAAAACAACCAAAAAACCATCTCCCATAAAAAAAAAGCCCGTAAATTCTGCCATTCCCTTTCAGCCATTCCACCATATACTTTGAGAGGGAGGGTGCAGCTAGAGAATATGTGAGGGCAGATAAGCATCCTTTAATAATGCTGATAACTAAATCCTGCCATTTTTAAAAGTTACAGGTTTTTCATTGAAAAGAACAAGAGGACAGCACTCTCTCTCTCTCTTCTTCACAAACAGATCAGATTGACCATAATGTGCACCAGAACAAGTCTTACCCACGTCGGTGATTGTTAAAACATCTGTAAAGATTTCACCATCATTGGCAGGCAGGCCAGTTTCAGCATAAACTTTGCACTTTGCAAACATTGCACACCCACACGCACGCACGCACACAGACAGACAGGGGTGTAAGCAAAACCCTGCCTGCAGTGCAATGAAGCATGGATGAGAACCATCTAGAATCAACAAACACTTCTCAAGTTAAAGATTCATTTATACAAGCAGTAATCCATAGACATCTCATTACACAGGCAAGATACAATGCCTAACTTAAACTGACAGGGGGGACAAGCAGGAAGCCAACAAAGCCAATTCCTCCAGAAACCTGTGATGCCACAGCTGCTACATCCATGCAGCGAGACAGCACCAAACATCTGCTACAGTATTCAAATGAAGGGACTCAGCAGCAGAGATTAGGAGAGCAGGTTAGGTAGCCAAAGGCTTATCTCTTCAAGGTAGATTTCTGCTAACCTGGACTGACTCAGCCACTAACAATAACATGGCTCAGAGCTGTGGTGACTGATCTGCGGACATTGCTCCAATAAGACCCAATGTAATAGTTCTGAGTAGCAGAGTGCTGCCACAGATCATTGGTCCTTGGTCATGAATAATGATAGCAAACATTAAAAAGACACTGTCAAACTGAGCATTGTCTCCTCAGAAACACGGCCAGCTCCAATCTGGCTTTAGCTCTGCAGAAAACAGACAGGCAACAAATACATTGTCACTATGCAAGGAGACTCTGCTTCTTTAAAGGGATAGTTCACCGAAAAATCTAAATTCACTCTGCTTCACTATGCTGATGGAGGGGTGGGTGAAGGGTTTTACTCCACAAAACACTTGAGGTGTTTCAGTGAATAACAGCGTTACAACCAAATCCAATACAAGTGAAGTAATTGGTGACTCAGACGTAATAAAACAACAGAAATAAAAACATAACATGCCTCCATACTGCTTGTGTGGTGTCATCCAAGTGTCCAGAAGGCCCGACACCCAAATTCGACTAGAAACTACACACCGCCTTTTAAGCCTAGAAGTCCACTACCAGAAGTAGCGATGCTAGTGGATGTAACAATGCTAATACGCACCCAGCGTGCATAGTGGTGAGTGAATTTTCTTTCCCTTTAAACAGTCTCTCAGTAAAATCGGAAGTAAAATAGGAATGAAATCACAGCCAATGTTGAGAAAAATATATACAGAGAAAATTGCCAAATGTTCAGTTCAAAAACCCTTCATCAGTCAAACCTATTTATATGAAAATGAATGTGTATGTGTACATACAAAGAGGCAAAATGTGTAACTTCACATTCAGTTTCTGTCTGAACCTCAAGCACATTCACCCTGCGCACAGTTAAGTTCAGATAGTGTCTTTAAGAACCTTTCTTAGCACAAAGAAGGAACCCTGCTGTTGCCAAGAAAGTGCTGATGACATCAGTCCAGCTCCCTCAGCCAAAGATTGCAACAGTCCCAAAACCTACACAGACGAAGCAACTGGGGAAACACAGGACGAGATTTAAAAAAATGACGTAGATACGGGGCCAAATGAAGCAACATGCTCTGTTATTGGTATTTTCTCTCCCCTCACTGGGTCATCTGTTTCTGATAAACTGTTCTGAGACCTTATTTTTGATAAAGAGAGATGAGATCCATGTTCCTGTCAGATGGTGGCTTTCCTCTGGAGGCTTATTAATTCTGGCAACATATCAATTAAACAGTTAACATGCTTTTATTTAAAATATCTGGTGAAATAAAAATAATCAAAATGATGTGGCTGCGATTTTGACCCACAGTGTGACCGAGCTGCCAGCCACTGCTGCAGTAAGGGAGTAGAGGACGTAGAAGAGGACATGATCTGTTAGCACGCTGCCATAATACAAATCAACAATGTGAGAGCTAAGGATAATGGTTTATAGCAAATAAAATTTTACAGCGAGTGTTTTAGAGACATTTACAGCTCTGCATAACATTTAAGGTTGATTTATTAAACTTTCGATCCAATTAAAATAAAAAAAATATAAGGAAACAGGAAGCAAGAGCAGAATTGGAGAAGTAGATGGGAAATCTTTAATTTTACACAAAGGTGCTTAAAACCCCGGCTTACTGTATGTGCCCAGCCCACTATGTGCAAATCCACCAATTTGCTTAAAAAAATGCTGCTGGGTCAAACTGGTAAAACTAGGTTGCAGAGCTGGGCTATCAGACTCTATAATTGGGAGCTGCATGCAAAACACACACAGACAGGAGAACATTTCCATTCTGGGCTTACAGTCAGACAGGGACGGAAATCCTAACAGCAACCCACACATGATGGTTGAACTATCACATTATATTGCTTGTGCAGGAAATGAATTCTTCAGCCAGTATGTAACCTTGTCCTGGGCAGGGTTCTCCCTGCCATTAACAGACAGTGCATAAAGTTAAGCAACACCTCATTAAATGAATAGGAGAAAGTTCTCTACCTGTCTGGGGAGAGGATTCTGTATTGGTCCTATTTTTCTTATTTAAAGAGGCTTCAGTTTATGACAAGTCTTAACTCCAATGTTTCCTACACATTTACATTGAAAGCCTTGGCAGATGTATGTATTCTCAGAGCGTCTTTCTAATGTTGAAATTGTTTATAATTAATCACCTATTTGTGACTGATTGATTGATTCATCATCACAAGGCACTATAACAAAATTCTGCTCAGAACCCAAGTTTGACCAAACGGACGAGTTTTCGCACACTGGTCTCCACTGCATGCAGATGGTCAGACCTCACAGTTTGCTATTGTAGCATTCAATGCAGTTCTTTCCCTCACACGAAAACTTCTCTTTCACTCATTAGTCTGTGTACCTGTCACTCCAAATCTGTGAGAGTGACCTTCATTACCACTATAGATTGAATCAATTCAGTGGTTATTTTGACAACTGATTGACTTTTTTTTTCTCCTTTATTCCTGCATGTGAGTGAGTTTGAGTCAATTGTTCAATTACTGTGAGGGCTGAACAATTAATGATGTCAGAATGATCTCAGATATCAGTCAATTTATTATCATATCACACCTGGTTTTTGGTTTTTAAAGCACAGTTACTAGTGAGTCTTTTGTCCATGAGCTAACATGTACCACCATTTTTAACAAGGAGTTATCAGCCATGGATTACCAAACCTGCCAAAAAAACCCCTCTTCATTTGAAAACTGAAACTGTTCTCGAATTGAGGCAAAGACTTCACTTTCCTGCATAGCCTAACAACCACAGCTAATCCTCAGAATTGACTGCAGATGATTGGAAAACAGCTTTGGCTCCTGATTGGTTATCGTCATCATGCCATGAGTGGAGCAGTGGGGGACCTGTTGATGCTGCTGTGCCGGTTTTAATGGCATCAAAGCAGCTGATTGAGTCACTTAAGTTAATCCAAAGACCTGGACTGGGTGACGTTTATCGATCCGATGACTTCAGAGTGGATCAATCACATCAACAAGAAGACTCTCAAGAGAAGGCTAACGTTGTTTGTTTGAACAATGTTTGGCTCAGTGCAATCTTGAGTCATCACCATCATCATCACCATCATCATCACACATGAGCATCATTAAAACCAATGAGGCAGAATCTCCATCACTGCCTGTGCACCGTTTGTCCACATAACAAGTCTGCTTTCAATCATCCCTTCTTTTTGAGTATTAATCATGTTGAAAGGTTGCTCTCAGACTCATCTGATAGCTCTGATTTGATTTTAATCACAAACATTAAGGCCGTTTCACTCACACATGGAAAGGTTTGGACTGAAAACATGATTAATGTGTTCCCAAAAACATACATTTTAGAAGACAGTAGAACTACTGTACACTGGTCAATATCAGCCAACACTAGATCGCTGCAGATATACTCAGAATAGTGGTGCCAAACTACATTGTAGGTCATTTACAATGTTTACAGAGTTTGTTCTTTACGTTTTACCCTATCCCACTCTTGATCATATTTCTTATTTAAACAGGATCTGTAAGAATCTATTTTTTTTGTGTTACATTAAAAACCATCAGCTGATATAGATTTAGACTCAAAAATCCAGGATCATTCCGGCTATAAAAATATTCTTTTCGTGGTAGAGCTGAAACTAAGAGCTCATGTTGTTCCTCTGAAATTTTGAAATACTAAAATATTCATCATTCAATCATTTTCATTGTCAAATAATATGTCATTGATTTGAGTTTTGTTGTAAGATTGTCATTGTGACCAACAAGTTGGTTTTTAAATCTGCATCATCAGGCTGCATTTGTATGAAATCTAAGTGTATGAGAAATGAGTGGAAGAACTGAACCGGGGTTTGTATAATCAATACACCCTCGTCATTGACCATTGGTTTTGTATATAATCATTAACATTTAGATGAGCCTGGGCCCCATCCTGCAGCATCATGTGTCACCACACTCCAGTGAGTCCTGGGCTGTGTCAGCGGCACACACTGCCCTCTTACCTCCAAAGAGATTAGGCGAGAGGTGAGCTGGTAATGACCCGATCAGCAGCCGGGGACCTTCGTGCTCTCTGCCGGAGTGCTCCATGTCCGCTGCCTCCTCCGGGCTGCTGCCCTCAGACTCTGGGGAGCTGTAGGCTCCTCTGCTGTTGGGAATGTTGATCCCAGACCGAGGTCTGGTCCCGGAGCCTCCGGAGCCCCCTACAGTCCTGGCCCTGGCCCCGATGTGCTGGCTGGTGCCGGACGTGGCTCCGGAGGCGCCGTGGTACCTCACTCCTCCGGCGGCAGCCCTGCTCACGTTGCTGCCGTTGCTGCTGGAGGTGCTGGAGGGCACGTCCGAGCCGGAGTAGGCTCTGGTCCGACCGTTAGCAGCTGGACTAGCAGCGGGGCCGCTCTGCTTTGCCCCCATGTTGACCTCCACTGATTCGGCTTTCAAATATTACCGAGCCGCTGCGGGACAGTGCGCTAGATTCACGCCTGAGGCAGATGGCTGCAGGACACACGGACACTGGAGCGAAACTAACTCTGCGTCGCTATGATCCCCTGGAGGAGAGCAGAATGTCAGTCAGGGGAAAGTTGACCTGGACATGTTTGACATGTGTGGGGAAAACTTTATCCGCCGTCACCATCGTATTCCGTCAGTAACACTTGTGGTCGTGCCGCAGATAACGTGGATGGTTCCTCTGAGCCGCTGCTGCTGAGCCGCTGTCCTCCGGCCGCTGGTTCCTCCTCAGTGTCCGCTCCGCCATGGCTCCTGGGCGGCGTGACGGAGCGGAGAGCCGGGCTCCTCACGCCTCCAACACATTGCTTTAAAGTAGGAGGTGATGGAGGAGAAGGTCCGGCATCGAACCGTGTGATCAGACTGTCTGAGCAGGTTAGCTGTCAAGCCACCTGAGCTCACGAGTGTTTCCGGGGAGGATTTTCAAAATAAAGCCACTGCAGTGTCTCAAGAGACCAGGTGCAACCGGATACACCTGAAAACAGCCCTGAATTTTAATTCAGTTTCATAAATGTGCTGTAGGCTGTTATCAGTATTAAGTAGACTATGAGCTAGTAACCTGTACTTGATACCACAGTGCTTTACGCCACGCTCTGTATAAATGATCATGCTAAAGCTCTCACAAGCTGCTTTCAAACATTGAACTCCACAAACTCTTCCTATGTGCAGATGTTCGAGTGAGAGCCTTCGGACTCTCTGTGGACTTTCTCCAGCCAGCCCCCAGTATACAGTCTGCAGCATGTCTGTAGGATGGTCAGACTGGTTGCAGCAGACAGAAACGCTATGGTAACTCAGATAACCTCTTAACAACTCAAATCATTTTATTTTAAAGGTCACATTCACACAATGCTTCTATATCACACATACATTCCCCCAGTGCTATTCGGCTCTCAGACATCAAAATGGAAGAGCTGGAGATTGAACCAACAGAGACCCTTCACAATACTTGGATACAAGCAAAGGAATATTGCTTTGCCCAGATACTATTAAATTCCTTTGTCTTTAAGAAACTCTAAAAATTTCCGATGCACTAGATGGTCCGTGGTTCAATCCGTCTTCCCCATCGTCAAGCTGAGGTGTCCTTGGGCAAGATACTGATCCCCAAAATGCCCGTTTCATATAAGAAATGTTGCCCATGGATGAACGGTATGAATGTGTGAAAGGCAACCCCCCCCACTTAAAAACATACTGTTAAATGTTCTTTGTGGTCATCAAGAATAGAAAAGCATTATATAAGTACAAACTATTTGCACAAGATTCAATTCAACCACACAGCAATTTAGCTGTTGTTCCTCTTTTCAGTTTCTGCATACTGTTCAACCCACAGACTCTACGGGCTAGACTTTACAGAGCGTAACTTCTCAGTGCTCACATTTTAGGTGAACTGAATGGATCATTTTGCAAATGCTGACCATGAACCTGAGCATCATTTATTGCCGCGAGAGTGAACAACACTCCCGTTTAAAATTTGCGTGACATTATCTGTGCCACATTTCTTCTAATGTAGTGAAGCAGAGGGATGTCAGAGAGGTTTTAGTAGGCACCACCTAGAGAAAAAGAAGAGCGGTATAAAGTTTAAAACCACAACCTACACTAAGGAGCAAATATAAATCTGTAAATGTCAAAGAAATAATAATGTGATATTTATTGTGGTCATTATCTATGACTGATATGAACATTTTTATCTTGATATAATTTTTGGCCATATTGCCCAGCCCAAATAAAAAGTAAAATTTGGTAAATCTAGCAACAAAGGCAATCGATTGGCAAAATTGTTTGTCAATGCTACTGTACAATGAAATATAAATATCCCTGCTGTTTTATTCCAGCAAAAAAGGACACAACTCAGAAAGCAGCAGCTGGTGTTTACAGAAAACACATCAGGACAGCGAGTCTCCTGTCACCCCCACTGAGACGGGGAATACACCAGACAATGGTGATCACCTTTCAAACAGGATGGAATATATATATATATATATATATATATATATATGTCATCAGTCTGATTGGTCTGAATTTGTGGCACCACAGGCAAAAAAAGCACTTCTCATTGAGTCTTTGGTTGGTGGTTAACACTGCTGTGTTTTTGTTGCTGTGAAACACGAGCAACTACATTTTAGTTACGAAAATGTGGCATTAAGTCTGCAGTAAACTTCAGTGACAGCTCCCCTGAGCATCTCACAAGGCTTTGAACTCCGAATTCAGATATACAGTACATTCTGTAAACAACAGCAATCACATTATGCAGTCTGCAGAGCTGGCAGGGCGGGTGAGGAAGGTGAGCGGTTTTCTCACCCTCGACTGCGATAATCCCTCTAATCTCTTTTGTCTGGAAATAGCTTGAGTTGTCAATCGATGGCCACAGCATTCATCACCACCTGCACAATGAAGGAGAGACCAGGGAGGCTCAGCAGCCACACAGCAAAACCATAATTACATTAGACCTAATGGCTTTCTTTTTTTGATGAAGTGCCAGTGTGACAGCATTATTTATGCGTTGGTGGTGATGGATGACAGGAATTCTTATGTGCTGAGTATCGGAGGAGTATTTAGGCTGATGAACATAATTTAGACAATGTGACACAACTTATACCATGAATTCAAATAAAGATATGTACATCAAACTCAACCCGCAATAAATATGTATGCATTCTCATTGTTCATCATTCTGAAACATGACATTTTGGTTTGGTTTCCAGAAAAAGCCCAGAAAACACATCCATCAGTCATCAGACTTGGGCAATGAAAGTACAATTCCTGCATTAGCATTAATTTGGAGCCTCATTCACACTCCTAAATATCTTGCTCTTTATCTGCTAAATTCTCCAATCAGAAACTAACTAAGAAAAACATGACTCCCTGAAGGATAAACGGTACAGATGTAGGCTGTCGACTCTTATTTTGAAGGACCAGTATAGAGAGATTGAGTGGCATCTAGTGGTGAGGTAGCAGATTGCAAACAACTAAATTCCCCTCCCATTGTCCCTTTCCTTCCAGGTAACTGGTGAACATATGGTGGCCTTCATGGTACATACAAACTCTAAAGGCGCTCACTGGTGGCTGTGTTTGGTTTGTCTGTTCAGGGATTTGTTTTTGTTTTTCTCATCAGAGGTTGTGAAGACCCGGTCCTATCCTGCATCTGATTGGCTTATCCTGATAACTCCCCCTAACCCTAACCAATTAGCACCCTTTTAATTTGATCCAATCGGAGGATGGGTCTTTGTCCTCATTGGGTTCTGAAAAAAATCTAACATGCCCATGTAACATGGTGGTCTCTGTTGAAGAAGATCCATTCTCTACAAACATACATTCTCAGCTAATGGGCAAACAACCATTATTAGTTTCAGGTGATCATACAGTAATGAAGACATAATTATGTTATGTGTCAGATGAGTTAGTTAATATGTAGCATCTATGCCAAATAATAAAAATTGTTAAAATCTTTATCCTTATAGTCAGAACTCCTTACCAAAAACACAGTACTTACACAATACTTCCACACCAAAGCTTTCGTAACTCACATTTGTAAAAGTAGAAAATAGATTTTTTTTGTTTGGGTTAGGGTTAGACATTAAACATCCTAGCATTTCATCATTTATAAAAGTGTGAAATCAGGTTTTAAGTAATCCTGTCCCCTCTTTGACCACAACCGAGCTGTGTTATGTAAAGGTGGATACTCAAATCCCTCAAGTCATCTGCCACAGACCCAACCAATTCAATTACCTGAATGCTGCCAGTTACAAGCAGAACACTGCTAACCCCTGTTGGCCAACAAAATAAACTACATCTTACAATAAATATAAGACAAATGTCTTAGTAAATACTTTAAATTTAATTACATTAATACCATTTCATAACTGTAACAAGAGACAGAAAATAAAACTGCCAGGGTAGTTGCCCAGGTAATTTTATATGGTCAGTGTGTCTGAGAGTTACTGTTCTGTCATAGGAAACAACTTCAGTATTGCAGGTAAATGTACAGATATTTAGGAGTCAAATTGACTGACTGAGAAGAATGCACTTATATAAACACAAATCTGGACCTTCAGAGGCTCCAAATACACAGTTTTCATGGTGTTCTTGATGTTAGACATAGATCTAAATGTAGTTCACAGAAAACACACTGACAAACTGATAATGTACTACCAGGTCTACATTTTGCTTCCTGCAAATAGTTGCACTGATGCAAATAACAACAAATTAATAAATATCCTTTAACTCATGGCTGTCAGTGATCACATCAGAAATACAAAACACTCTAATGTTCCCCATCACTGGAAGATTGAGTGAATGTGGAGAAAGCTGCTATCTCCTATAAACCACCGGGTGGCAGTGTTGCTCTAATAAATATGAGTTTGCAGCGGGGTATCACTGTCAACAGCTGACTGTGGCTGCAACAGACCAACTGGTGATGAGTATTTCTCAGTAGAGAGTTTATACAGCTGCCAGAGAATAGAGGAAGTGAAGTACTACACTTAAACAGTCCTTCTCAGAACACCCAACACACGATGAGACCTTTGTCCAGATTATCGTCCCTCCCATGTGGCTCTCTCTTAGGTTTCATCATTTTTTTTCTCTAGGGTTTTTTTTTTCTGGCATTTCATCTGATTTTTCCTTCATGTTGTTGAGGGTTAGGGACAGAATATCTCACACCTTGTTAAACTCCATGACACAAATTGTGATTTGTGAATATGGGCAATACAAATAATATTTAATTGATTGAAGCTAATATGATTGACCTCTACGTTGTAAAAATCAAGGCATGAGTCATATAAATTATGGTGCACACGATGCTGCACAGCGCCTCTGTCAGCGATGTTATTAAAAAAAAAAATTACCATGGTAACATGTTTAAAGGTTATGCAGGATATTCACTGCCACTAAATGTCACACAAGCCCAAATCAAGCTGCACCACTGTCACAACTCCAGAAGCAAGGAGTCTAGTGCAGGTATTTAGAGCAGAGCTGAGGAAAATAAAAAATGTGTCCGCAAGCCCACTGTTACTATGAATGACACATTCTGGAGGCCTGAAAGATGTCGGATGTGGATGTGCTGGATGTCTGCTGCAGTTTAGAAGGTCATTTAAGCTGCTTTCATATATGCACTGAACTCCGGAGATCCATCACATTCTCCCCAGATATCCAAGTGAGAGCCTCCGGACCATCCAGAGTAGCCGATGTAAGAGCATGCAACAGATGCAAAACTGAAAAAAAACGAACACGTCTGGATACAGAAGACACAAAGATGTTTTTGGTGATAACGGTCGATGCTGGTGTTGATGTGCTGTAAAGAAACATACGTGATCACCCCAGAAGAAACTGCCTGCTGCACCGCCCCTCACCTGAACGCTCTGGAGATTTCTGTGTTGTTGTGAACGCGCCTGACAGGAAAACCTCCACATGTGTGAAAACCAGTCTCTGGACAA